GCCGCCATCCTGTAGATGCTACGCTTACACTGGCACAAAGATGTGACACTACCGTGACTGGACGTGACGCTGTTCACGTCTGTTTCAATGTTTGGTCAAGTTGAATTATAGATGTGATCTCCAATCGAGGGGAAATTATAATTCCCCATCTAGAAATTGTAGATAGCACTATCCAGTGTATCTTCCAGACTTTATTCTCCGGGGAGGGGGGGGGGCAGTTAATATTTTCTGGGGGGGGGGGGGGGGCGGTCGACATTTTTTCGGGGGGGGGGGGGCGGACCTAGTAAAAGTGTATGTTTACTATATAAATTACATCTCGTTTGGAGGGGGGGGTAGACTTTCTTCGGGGGAAGATGCCTGGAAGAAACTCTTGCACTATCTGATGGAGAAATTATAATTCCCTATCTTGACTATCTAGGCACATTCTAATGGAGAAATTGTAGAAGAATTGTAGAAGAAGCACACAATTGCACTGTGATGCCTCGATGAATGAGATTCAACAAAGCTGAAAGTGATGTTGGATTAAAGTTATTAAAAGAAACTTTACATCGAAACCTTAATGTCATTAATAAGTAACCTACAGATTCAACAAATGTCAAAACAAAACAAAGCAAAAACAAACAAAAAAACCAACATCGAAACCTTAATGTCATGAATAAGTAACTTACAGCTACAGTAGAAGCTAACAAAAAGAAAAGATATACTGTTGTAGTCTTCACAATGACGTGTCACCTACGTCCCCGTATCTCTCTTAACCTCTAGTTGTGCACCAGGACAAACAAGGCAAGAATAGAAACATCTAATTAATAAATTAATGGCTCCATGGTTTGATAGAAGTTTTTGATAATTCCGCCTGGAAATCAAGGCCCGAGCAGTAAACTAACACAAGCGCTAGATACTGCTGATGTTTAAGGGTCTTGCTGGGTGCTAACAAAAAAAAACAGGACTGGTAATCCAATCTCTGAAGGGGCTTAACTCCTGTTTCAATGCTGTGTTTTTTTTTTCTCTTAGATGGGCGACTATCTCAAGCTAACAAAACCCGGAGTTCGAACATCGAGTCTTAGCTGAGTCACACAATCATCTGTCCTAAAACCTTTCACTTTGTCTAGCGGTACTCTTTGTTCTTTACAATGCTGGAATATAAAACACACCGGATTTAAATCAATCAGCTTTATGTATCAACTTTCGTGTAAAAAGCCTTTTAAAAGTTGTTTTTAGTGTTAAAATAACACATTCACACATTACGTCGTTATGGGTTTACACAAATGTAATACGTACATGGGACACCTGCGCTTAATATAGCATACCATTCGGAAACTGAAAAAAATTTCTCTGTTTCAATTTACAGACAGTATCGTTTCTTTTAGAATAAAACTTGGGGTCGGCGTGGTCGAGTGTGTAAAGCTCGTGGTTGCTAAACCTTAAAGTCACGAGTTCGAGCCCTCGGGCAGATAGTAACTGCTGCCTAGTCAAAAAAAATGCAGGCTGAAATCTGAGTCTACGGTCTAAATGGCGCATAACCAGTTGACACGTACACCTAATTGTGCTGCAGGGGTCCCGTCCAACATTAGATTAAGAAACTAGAAGAAAGAATAGAACAAACATTATATTGAAATCCGCCGAGTGTTCAATATGCGTTTTACAGTAAATTTTAATTCTCTCTCTCTTTCTTTCCCCTCTCTTCTTGTATGTTTTTAAATTGTTCTTGTACCACAGTTTCAAGGACATGAATTCAAAAAATCTTCTTGTTTATTAGCCAGTGTCATCAGAGTTTCTTCCAGGCATCTCTTAAGGGGGGGGGGGGTGGGGCTCTGTCGAACGAGATGGATTTTATATAGTAAACATACACTTTTACTAGCGTCCCGTCCCCCCCTCCCCCTCCCCCGAAAAATGTTGAACGCCCCCCCCCCCCCCGACAATTTCAAAAGCCCCCCCCCCCCCCCCCCGTAGAAAAAAAGGTCTGGAAGAAAAGAAACACTGGTTGTCATTAGGTTATGTTTGTTTAATTGGACAGTTCTATCTTATAAAAAACTGCTAACTTAACGAGTACATTGATATCGATTTGTCAAGTACTCATTCAAATATCACTAAACTAAAATGTTATAATAAGGGACTTTTCTTTGATTGACTCATAAAATAAACTAGAACTGTTCAATTGAAGACGGAAGGCAACAATTAGAACAGTTTTTCTGATATTTAACTCAGGCTTGACTTGATAAAATAACACCTCATCCGGCAAGCAGGATCTGCCTTCCCCCTTGACGTCATCAGCAGCTCACTAAGGCGTGACATCAACTAAAATGTTAACCACATGAAACAGCGGCATTGTGTACTCAACTACACCACAATGTCTTCATTAGGCGAACCAAACGATCAGACGACAACACAATACGGAGTCCGATCAATGCCCTAATACTGCAGGCATTTCCTGCCCGTTTTGTTGTTCTGTTGGCCACGAACGTGTGAAAAAGTGTTGGCCGATGTAAAACCAAGTCGGCGAGACAAACATCAAAGTCGTTGATTGTGATCAAGATTGTAAATGTTATTGATTACATCCTTTAGACACAATACTTACGTTTAATATCTCCATATAAAGAACTGGTATTTGTTTCAAATTTTTGTCGTCTTTATTAGTTCATTTTTATATTTTCTATTTTTTTTTTTCCGTTGAAAATACCTCAACCGATCTATTTTCATTGCGGGAACTTTTATATTCCATTATGTATATAAATTTGATAGGTTGATTTAACTGACATTGTATGCGGCTCTTATGGGTAGTTCAACAGATCGATGTAAATTATATGTATGTATTTACAGACGGATGGAAACTTAACAAAACAAGCTTTAAACAAAAGATGATTAAATGTTGCTCATGTACATCACGTAAATATCAATTTATTTTCATAAACAGACGAATAGCGACATATACACGATATAAATGTATGAATGTACACAAAAAACACAGTGACACTAATACGGGCAGACAAAAGCTTGTGATACACAATAAAAGACATACATACAGACGTACACAGACATAGAAATACACGCAGACATAAACGATAATTGTATATTGTATCCACATGAACAACATTTTCTAGCATGTTTTCGACTCTATATGTATTTTGAAAAACAAGAGTTTATTTATTTATTTATTTATTTATATACGAAATTGCCAATATAGCCAAACTCTTTTGTGCCAAACCCTTACTGTGTGAGGTCGGTGTAGTCGGGTCGGTTAAACTCTTGGTTGCTGAAGTCCCGAGTTCAAACCCACGGGCAGATGAGGCTCGGTCGCTGGGGACAGCCACTCTTCTAGGAGAAACTCCAAAATCAAACAACTGCTGCCTTGTAGTTTGTTCTTGGTTGGACAAAGGCTATGGAAGCAAATCAAAAAGAAAAGCAGGCTGAAATCGGAGTCAATGGCCTCAATGGCGCATAACCAGTTGACACGTATCCTTAATTGTGTTGGAGGGGATCTCTTCCAACACTAAAATTAAGATCGAAGAAGAAGAAAGAACAACCAATCCTTACTGTTCTATACGAATGTGTTAGTTCAGGGGAGCTCACTACTGCTTTACTCCTTTAATCATGTATCTCCGTGTGTAGTCAATTCTGCTAGATCGTGCTATCGATGTCGGATTGTTGTAATAATGTAAGATGAACGGCACAGCAAACAATAAGCTAAAATATAATAGACTACTGTTCCTCTAATTTAGTATTAAATTATGCTTTAACTACGCTAGACTTACGTCAATGATGTTTCTGTGAATGTCTAAATCATTTAAACATGTTGTACTCAATACGTAAATGATGTGATAGGTTAAAGGTTTTTATATTGGAGAAATGTATATGGTAGTTTGTGATGCAATGCGACTTTGACGATGTAACACTTACGAGAGTTTATGCTAGAGCAAATACTAGCACTAGGGCCTTTAAAAATGTAAACAAGAAAATCGAATGATCATATGCAGCTGGGGTTGGTCAGTTGGTGTTTGGACCAGAGTCAGCACGGGTTGGTGTTTGGATTAGAGTCAGCACGGGTTGGTGTTTGATTAGAGTCAGCACGGGTTGGTGTTTGGATTAGAGTCAGCACGGGTTGGTGTTTGGACCAGAGTCAGCACGGGTTGGTGTTTGATTAGAGTCAGCACGGGTTGGTGTTTGGACCAGAGTCAGCACGGGTTGGTGTTTGGACCAGAGTCAGCACGGGTTGGTGTTTGGGTCTAGAGTCAGCAAATGTTGGTCCTCAATAAAAAGCTCTTTAAGGCTAGCTGGTTGTTTAGTATACAAACAGTCACGTGATCGATACATTTCAAATGTTCCCTCCATTGAGGCAGTTTTGAATGAGACTCAGACTAGCAGCGGAAACCGTACAATCATACGATAACAAACTCATGTTAGGCCTACGTTGGTGAAACATTTAGTTTGAAAGAAGAGTGAAACGTGATGGATATGGATTAATTTCTAAGGTAATAATGAATCAAACGTCGAGTCTATGAACCCTTTTACCCCATGATATTTTATCATTCCAACACTGTTAATTTATAGACTTTCTTATTCTAATTTATTATTTTAGATGAGA